TTTTACTTTTGTTGCCCAGGCTGGAGTGCAAGGGCGTGATCTCAGCTCACTGCAACCTCTGCCTCCTCGGTTCAAGCGATTCTCTTGCCTCACCCTCCTAAGTAGGTGGGATTACAGGTGCCCAACACCATGTCCAGCTGACTTTTGTATTTTTTTTAATAGAGACGTTTCACCTTGTTGGCCAGACTGGTTTCGAACTCCTGACCTCAAGTGATCTACCCACCTCAGCCTCCCAAAGTGCTGGGATTACAGGTGTGAGCCACTGCACCTGGCCACTCCTGCTTTCTTATTGTTAGCATTGTATATTTTTCTCTATTTACTTTTAATTAATGTGTGGCTTTATATTTAAAATGGGTTTCTTGTAGACAACATATAGTTGGGTCTTGTATTTTGATCCACTCTGACAATCTCTGTTTTAATTCGTGAATTTAGACCATTGATATTCAAAGTGATTATTGATATAGTTGAATTAATATCTGCCGTATTTGTTATTGTTATTATTCCCATATTGTTTTGTCTTCTACTCTTTCTGCCTTTTGAGATGTTAACTGAGCATTTTATATGATTCCATTTTCTCTTCTTTCTTAGCATGTGTTTTCTTTATAGCTATAATTTTTAAAACTTTTTGTACTAGTTTAAAAAGTTGCCCTAGGGTTTCAATATACACTTACAAGTCCAGTTTCAAATAATACTGTACTGCTTCACAAGTAGCGTGACTATCTTCTAACATAATTTTTCTCTTCCATCTTCCTGTCCCTTGTGTCGTTGTCATCATTCATTTCAACTACATGTAAGCACACATAATCGTGCATGTGTATATGATTGCATATGTTTGTACATAATATGTAGATTGGTTAAGATACCCTCATTCTTTCTTTACTGCTCTTCCTTTCCTTATGTAGATCCAGGTATATGACCTATATCTTTTTCTTCTCTCTAAATAATTTTTAATAGTATGAAAGCGATAATTTTAAAAATTGGTTTGATTGATACTTAGTGCATACGATATGTTAGGCTTGATTCTAAGCCATTGCACGTACATATTTAATAGACATGATACATAAATGTTTAAAATTAGGAACCCAGAGATTCATTAGTAGCAACAAATTGACAAGTTTTAAATCCTATTTGGTAACTGTAAAACTATCGTACAAATTTACTATTTAAGTTTACAGTAAATGAACATACCATTGTTAAAAATTTTATTAGAAAATTGGACTAACTAGGCTGGAAGATAAATGGGTAGCACAATTGAACAGTAAGCAGAGGATACACATTATTAGCTAATGATAGACAAAAATATTTTAGAAGAAAAAATACTAGGACTAAAAAATGCGACTGAATTTGTAACAGCAGAAATACAGCAGATCACTTTTTGAGGCATGGTGATATACTAACAGAAGCTATCATTTAATGTGTAACCACAGTCCATTGTGCTCCTCATTACATCAAATAACTTTTTGAACTAATAAACGAATTAAGTAACATTTCAGGATATTGTACCAATGTACCAAAAGTATCACTTGCATTTCTATATCCTAACAATATATCTGACAAAAATCCAGAAATAAATCCATTTAACATAATGTCAAAAAGAATAAAGTACTTAGGAATAAATATAACCAAGATGGTGAAGGATCTATACATCAAAAACTATAAAATATTGATGAAAGCAATTTTAGGAGACACAAATAAAACAAAATATGTTGTGTTCCTGAAAAAGGTTTCTTTAAACATCCGTAGTGCCCAAAGTGATATACAGATTCAAATCAGTCTATCAAAATTTCAATAGCATATTTCACAAAAATAGAAAAAAAATTCTTAAGTTTAGAATCATAAAAGAGTAAAGCAATTTTGAGTAAGAAAGGCAAAGCTGGAGGCATAATATTTCCCGATTTTAAACTGCATAGCAAAGCTGTAGTCATCAAAACGGAATGACACTGGCATAAAAACAGACGCATAGACCAATGGAACAGAATAGAGAGGTCAGAAATGTATCAGTCAGCCTGGCCTGAGTCAATTAATTTTCAACAAAGGCATACAAATGCACACGAGAAAACAAACTCTTCAGTAAATGATGGGCAATCTGGTTATCCACATGCAAAAAAATTGGACCACATTTTACACCATACAGAAAAGTAAATTGAAAATGGATTATGGCAAGATATGAAAACAACCTGAATGTCCATAGAAATATAAGTGAATATAGAAAATGTCATATAGTTGCACACCATGGTTTGTGTCTCAATCCTAATACTTTGGGAGGCTGAGACTGAAAGACTGCCTTAGGCCAGGAATTCAAGATCAGCCTCGGTAACACAGTGAGATCTCATGTCTACAAAACAACAACAAAAAAATTAGCTGGGCATAGTGGTACACTTCTGTAGTCCTAGCTACCCGGGAGGCTGAGGAGGGAGGATTTACTTCAGCCCATGAGGTTACAGTTATCTATGATTGTGCCACTACACTCCATCCTGGGTGACAGAGTGAGATCCAGCAGCAGGATTGTCTAGGTGGCCCTTTTCTCTGGGGAGAGGCTGGTGCTGTGAAGGTGCTGCGAGCGCCTCTGCTTAAACAAAAGGATTACCATGTGTGTACCTGAGAGCAGCGTGAGTCTCGTAAGGCAGACGTCCCTAATTTTTGGAAAACACAATAGGAACAGCTGGGTTTCACACTTTTCCATGTGTGAGCCCATTTTTCTAGATAACTTTGGCCTAGTCGATTGTGTGGTCTCAGTGTTTGTCATCAAAACAGGTATCTCCCAATAGTCCAACCTTGGTAATCACTTGAATTTGTATCTTCCAAATCTTGCAGTAAAATTAGAGGTTAGGCTTCCAAGTAACGATTTTGCGGGGACACACACTTTTAGACCATAGCCGAAGTGGTCTGTAGTCCTGTCAACAGGGCTTATTCTTTTAGTGAGCTCTTCTTTCTTTTGAACTGTGAACTTCACAAGTGTTGCTCTTTTTTTTTTTCCTTCTATTTTAGGTGCGACATGATGGCTAGAGTGGGTTGGAGTTGGGTATTTCCCTTCACTTAGGTCATTGAAGCTGTTAATACCACATCAGGCTAGGCTCTGGTTAAGAAGCAATGCAGTACTCTTTCATATTTCAAAATGATTTGCCTTTTCCCCTCCTGCCTGCAGGTGGAAGCAGGAGGGGAGCTGTCTCCAGTATTTACTGTAGGAGGCTACTTAAGCTCCTAGCAGTAAATTTCACAGTACTGTGGAGTCACCCTCATGACTGGGTCCCCCTGGAGTTTTTAACTTTTGGAGTTGTTCACACTGAGCCTCTCACAGTTTGTCAGTTACAGTTCAGAATTTCCTCCTCCTGCACTGGTTCCCATGGTGATTTTTGCTAGTGAATCTCTGTTCTTGTTTTTGCCTGTCTATATCTCCAATCTTGGGGCAGTGGATTGTCCTGTGTTCTCCCTCCCTTACAGATCCAAGAAGAGTTGCTGATTTTTCAGTTTCTTCAGCTTTTCATTTGTTGTTAAGATGGAATGATGACTTTCAAGCTTCTTACATGCAGAAATAGAAACCCGGAATGTGTTTCTAAAAGTACGTTGTGTATGTCTATGTGCAAAATTGAAGAATTTTTCTTTATAGAACTGTGAATATGGTTATATTAGTATACTTATTAATATTGAGCTTTATTTGTAGAATAATCTTAGAAAGTTTGTCTTGGTCAGTGTTTCTGTAGATTCTGCATTTGTTCATTTTTTCTTTTAATCTCTTAAACTGTGATGGCTACGAGTACCTTACAAATTCTGATACTTTCCACGTATTTATCTTCTGCTTAGATATCTTTTCTGAACTCTGGAATTGTATATCCAGTTGCTAATTGGACATCCCCATGTACGGTACCTCAGATGTTTCCAATATGTTCTAAGTCTGTGTCACTTCTGGTCGTCATATTTTTAATTTTCTAAATTTGCAGTGCCATTACCTCACTAGACATGATTCTGCATCATCTGAAAGTGAAACTCCCCATTTTACCCTCTGCACAGCAAATTAGCACCAAATTCTTTTTCTTTTCCCCTTTTCCTTTTTAAGGATTGCTTCCCTGTTCTGTATTCTTACTGCTCTGTGATAGGAAGAATGTGGTCATCTATCACTCTGTTTTCTTCCCCTCTGAATCTCCCCAAAGTCCTTACCCATTCTCCCTCTAGGCGACTGTGAAAATGCATATTTGGTCATGTAACATACTTGTTCTTACAGGTATTTACACGCATTACACTCACAGATGAGTGTAAACATTACACAGATTTACACATTATTTACACCGGGTGGTTAGGGAAATAGGAGTGTTCACCCTAAGGGTGGACACAAGTGGTCATTGGGCATGAGGAAGGAAATGTTCAGATGCTTATGTACATTATTTTAATTTATAAATAATTTTAAAATAATTTTTGGAGTTAGGTCAGGTATTTACATGCAGACTCACTCCATAATCAGTTCCTTCAGTGTTGTGTTCTCTCTCATCACAGCCCGGGATCATTCAGCTAGATATGGTGCTGTGTGCAGTTCCGTTAATATGGCATGTGTTCTTCGTGTCCTTATGACTAGACTCCGGTGTTGCCTCATAGTCACGAGAACACATGGTTCACATGAAATACTAAGCATCTTTGGTTTTTCAATGAAGTGCAACCTTCTAATGCAATATAGAACTGTATTTTCTCCTTTCTTACTGCAGTCGACATTAAACTTATGTCTCTACTAATTCATCTATCATGTTGTTCTAGGTATGTGTTTATAATTTTTGTCGTCATACCAGATCACAGAATTTTTTTCTACTTTTATCTTTCACAATAAGGATGATTCTACATCTACAAGGTAAACTTTGTAATCTATTTTATTTACAAAACATGACAGTGGCATGAACAAACTATGCTTGTTCTTTCTCCATATAGAGTACAGAGAAGCTGCCGTTTATGTAAGATACACATAAGAGACATGCCGCTACAGAAGAATGAACTCTGACATTCCTATCTTGTGACCCTGGGCTGATGACTTGAGGAGAAATGTGCCATTACAGGGGTTGGTGTCCTTTGAGGAGGTGGCCGTGCACTTCACCTGGGAGGAGTGGCAGGACCTGGACGATGCACAGAGGACACTATACAGGGACGTGATGCTGGAGACCTACAGCAGCCTGATGTCACTGGGTGAGTGAAGCTGCCCAGTAACCCCCAGAAGCAACACTTACTTCCATGTTGGTAAATATAGGAAGCATTTATAAGGTTTAATGCTATTCCATGTGAAGAATGTGTCAACCCTCTCTAACAAAAGATTCAAATAGGCTCCTTCATTATACAGCTTCTGAAACCGAGCTGTTGTCATTCTGAAAAGGACCTTACTTTGCAGTTTGGCTAAGTCCTCCATTATTTCCCATTACCAGGCCATTGCATTACCAAACCTGAGGTGATCTTCAAGTTGGAGCAAGGAGCAGAGCCATGGTTAGGAGAAGAATGGGCAAACCAGTGCCTCTCAGGTGAGTCAACTGCATCCTGGGCAGGGAAGCCAGGAAGAGTAAAGCCGGGCAGATATTTGCATCGTTGACTTGTTTTCACCACTTTCTCTCCCAGGTCCCATACCTGAGGACAGCTGGTCTTTATGCATCAAACGTGAATTCTGTCATCTCCAAGGAGGGCTTTCATGCATATATCCCTGCATTTTATTTTGCGAATATTTTAAAATATTTACTCAGTCTAGTCCCTACCTTGCTCTTCTTAGACATGTTTGTTTGCTATTCGTTTTCTCAATTTTCTCAGTTGTTTTCTTTTCCTGCATTTTCATGGACTGTTTTTTTCCCCCGGACATTTATTCATACATCCGTTGATTCTTTCAACACATCTTAATCGAGTAGCTTGTAAGCCACGGTAACTTTATACTTGGCGTTTATAACAGCAGTGGTCAAAATAATGTCTTTTTTCATAAAGTGTACATCGTGATAAGAGAAAGAAAATAATATATGTTAAGTAGTTGTAAAAGAACCATGTGGAATATTTAACCAGAGTGAGTAAAAAAGGGATAAAATCTAGGAAAGATGGTAAGACAATGCAGTGTCAGAGGCGTTGTGAACTTTGGCATAGCTCCAGTTCAATTTAACTCTTTTCCAATTGTGGCACATAGTAGGTGAATATAAATATATATGTAAAGAGTGGACATCACAATTGGAGATACAAACTTAAAAATCGGTAAGTCAAAGCTGGTGTTTAGAATCATAGAGGAGGTCACCTAGGGAGTTGAACAACAAATAAGAACAATCTCATAGTGAGGCTTTTTTTATAATGACATCAGAAATCCTTACAGTGAGGAGGACCCAGCATCAGAGCATGGAACAGGATAGGCCTGGAATTTGGAAGAGAACCAGGAGATTCTGGATTCCAAAGCCTATTGAAGCAAAGGTTTCATGTTGAAGGGCTGAGATTTCTGTTTGGCAGTAGACAGTGAGAAGTGTACAAGAGACCCCATTTTTCTGTGAAACTAGGAGACAGCTGAAACTTGAACACACAAAAGCCTTCAGAAGCGTTGAATTATGAAGCAGGGATGGATGTGCCAAGAATTTGGGGGGAGAATATCAGGTCTATTCATCTCGGAAGGAGCCAATAAATGATTTTTCAAAGATGGTGAACCCCACCCGAGTTCCAGAACTGAATCCTTAGGACCAGCAGGGAGGGGATGCCCACAGTGGTGGAGTGGAGCTTCATGTACCTATTACAGTTCTGAGAAGCTAAGCGAGTCAGGTTAAGTTAGAAATTTGAAAGAGGCAGTCTTCACCTAGTTTGGAGGAGAGATTTTGTATTTGAAAAATGCCCAGATGCCTATAGACATTCCCAGGGAAGCATGAAAGCTAAAGAAACACTGGTGTAGGGCCGGGCGCAGTGGCTCAAGCCTGTAATCCCAGCACTTTGGGAGGCCGAGATGGGCGGATCACGAGGTTAGGAGATCAAGACCATCCTGGCTAACACAGTGAAACCCCGTCTCTACTAAAAAATACAAAAACCTAGCCGGGCAAGGTGGCGGGCGCCTGTAGTCCCAGCTACTCGGGAGGCTGAGGCAGGAGAATGGCGTAAACCTGGGAGGCGGAGCTTGCAGTGAGCTGAGATCCGGCCACTGCACTCCAGCCTGGGCAGCAGAGCGAGACTCCGTCTCAAAAAAAAAAAAAAAAAAAAGAAACACTGGTGTAAAATCTGGTCCTGAAGACAAGTGGCCATGGTGGGCACCTGCAGGTAGCTGATCCAGGAATATGTTATCATCTTCAAGGTGGAGTGAGAAAAATAGCACAAGATGCCTCCCATTGTTACAAGAATGAAATGGAGAAAAACAATAGAGAAAACAGTTGGCAGGTGATAAGCCCTTAGGAGAAAATGACAACTAGGTGTAGGTGAATATTTTTTACCAAATATTTTTAATGAAACAACAGTGAAAAACATAATTTCACATTAGAAAATCTAGTAATGTAATTTCTTATGTTAAGTTAGTAGGAACAGCCATGTGCTTATAAAACCAGTCCTGATTATTGATTTTTAAAGAATCTTATGCCACTAGGAGAGAAGGTAACTTCATTGAGTCTTTATATAAGCATTCCATAACAAATGCTTGTGTCTGCTTCATGGATTTTTGTTTTGCTTTGTTTTGTTTTGTTTTTTCTTCGTTACAGATGTCCAGACAGTTGATATAATTGAAAGAAGCCAGGAAATTCATCATAGACATATATGGCAAGTTGCAATCACCAACAGCAAAACATCAACCAAGGAAACAGTTGAATTAGGGAAAATACTTAATTTGAGCTTAAACCATATTCCAGATGTGATGGTAAATAACACACACTATTCAGGAATGAGGCCTGAGGAGTTAAATGTAAGTCAGAACATACATATCTCGATTGAGCCTCATGAAATGCAGGCAGGAGGAAAACCTGATGCTCGAAGTATAACTGGGAAATCTCTCACGTGTCATGAGTATTTTAGTCACCATAACAAGATTCATATGGAGCAGCAGCTTTTTGAGTATAGTAGACAAGGAAAAGCCTTCAGCACTGAGGCAGAGAAGGGTCACGGTGGAAAGACTGCATGTACTTATAGTGAGCGCGGGAAATCCTGTGATAAGTCAGCACTCATTTGCCAGAAGATAAATATCGAATGTTGTTTATGTGGGAAAGTGTTCTGTAAAAAGTCTAAGCTTACCAAACATCAGAAAATACACACAGGAGAGAAACCCTATAAATGTGTACAATGTGAGAAATCTTTCATTAAGAAATCATACCTTGCAAATCATCAGAGAACACATACACCGGAGAAACCCTTTGCATGTACCAAATGTGAGAAATCCTTCTGTCAGAAGTCAAACCTAATTGTTCATCAGAGAATCCACACAGGGGAAAAGCCCTATGAATGTCATGAATGTGGGGAAACCTTCTGCCAAATGTCAGCCATTATTTATCATCACAGAATACACACAGGAGAGAAACCCTATGGATGTATGGAATGTGGGAAAACCTTCTACCAGAGGTCAGCCCTCAATGTACATCAGAGAATTCACACAGGAGAGAAACCATATAGGTGTAATGAATGTGGGGAAACCTTCTATCAGAAGTCAGTCCTCACTGTACATCAGAGAACTCACACAGGTGAGAAGCCATATGAATGTGAAGAAGAATGTGAAAAAACCTTCTACCATAGGAGTCCCATTTCCCCTCACGGTACATCAGAGAACTCACAGGTGGAGGAAGCCATATGAATGTAAGAATGTAGAAAACCTTCTTAAGTGAAGCCCTCTGGGTACATGAAGAGAGAACTTTTTGGGTGAGGAAACCACTTATGAATGTAATGGCAAAAAACCTTCTGCATAAATTAAACCCTCACCGGTACATCAGAGAACTCACACAGGTGAGAAACCATATGAATAATAAGTATGGAAAAGTATCTTTAGCCAGAAGTCAAACCTCAGGATACATCAGAGAACTCACACAGGTGAGAAACCATATGAATGTAATAAATGTGGAAAAACCTTTAGCCAGAAGTCAAACCGCAGGATGCATCAGGGTACTCACACAGGTGAAAAACCCTATGAGTGTAGTGAATGTGGGAAAACCTTCTACCAGAAGGCAGTTCTCACTAAACATCAGAGGACTCACACAGGGGAAAAACCCTATGAGTGTAATGAATGTGGGAGAACTTTTAGCCAGAAGTCAAACCTGAGGATGCATCAGAGTACTCACACAGGGGAGAAACCCTACGAATGTAATGAATGTGGAAAATCCTTCTACCAGAAGTCAGTGCTCACCACGCATCAGAGAACTCACACAGGAGAAAAACCCTTCAAGTGTAACGAATGTGGAAAAACCTTTCGTCAGAGGGCAAACTACAGCAGGCATCAGAAAACTCACACAGGACAGAAGCCTTATAAATGTAATGGATGTAGGGAAACCTTCTTCCAGAAGTCAGCCCTCACTGTACATGAAAGAATTCACATGGGGAAGAAATCCCATGAATGTAAGGAATGTGGGAAAATGTTCTACCAGAAGTCATCCCTCATGATACATGAAAGAATTCACACAGGGGAGAAGCCGTATGAATGTAAAGAATGTGGGAAAAGCTTTTGCCAGAAGTCAACTCTCAATAGACATCAGAGAATTCACACACGTGAGAAACCATATGAATGCAAAGATTGTAGGAAAGCTTTCTACCAGAAGTCAGCCCTCACTGTACATTACAGAACTCACTCAGGTGAAGAGGCCTGTTAACCTACTGAAGGTGTGAAAAGCCTTAGTAGCAAATGAAATCCTACAGTGTATCAGTGGATGCATACAGGAAATAAACCCTTTGCATGTAACCAGTGTGAGAAATCCTTCAACCACAAGTCAAGCCTTACTACCCGTCAGAGAAGTCACACAGGGAAAGCCCTGTGGCTGTATGAGTGTTGGAAACACCTTTTAGCAGAAGTCAGACCTCAGGAAGCATCAAGAAATTCATAGAAGGGAGAAAGCCTAAGAGTGTAATGAATGTGGGCTGGGCACGGTGGCTCACACTTGTAATCCCAGCATTTTGGGAGGCCAAGGAGGGCGGGGAGGCCAAGGAGGGTGGATCATGAGGTCAGGAGATGGAGACCATCCTGGCTTACACGGTGAAACTCCGTCTCTACTAAAAATACAAAAAAACTAGCCGGGCAAGGTGGCGGGCACCTGTAGTCCCAGCTACTCAGGAGGCTGAGGCAGGAGAATGGTGTGAACCTGGGAGTTGGAGCTTGCAGTGAGCCGAGTTGGTGCCACTGCACTCCAGCCTGGGCGACAGAGCGAGACTCCAATCTCAAAAAAAAAAAAAAAAAAAAAAAAAAGTGTAACGAATGTGCAAAATCCTTTTGTCTGAAGTAACACCTCAGCAGGTATTAGGGAATTCACACAAGAGAGAAATCCTGTGTGTCAGAGACTGGCTAAATGTGTTCTACAAAATTCACACCTTTTTCTGTTGGACACACAGATGGCATTTCTCAGCCCTCTGTTTTTGTGGGTGCTTCAGATAACTGAGCTCTGCAGTAGAATATGTACCCATGTGGCTGGGAGTGGTAGCTCACGCCTGTAATCCCAGCACTTTGGGAGACTGAGTTGGGCAGATCACGAGGTCAGGAGTTTGAGACTAGCCTGACCAATGTGGTGAAACCCCATTTCTACTAAAAAATAGAAAAATTAATAGCCGGTCATGGTGGTGTGCACCTGTAATCCCAGCTACTCTAGAGGTTGAGGCAGGAGAATTGTGTGAACCCGGGAGGCAGAGGTTGCAGTGAGCCAAAATTGCGCCTTTGCACTCCAGCCTGGGCGACAGAGCAAGACTCCGTCTCAAAAACAAAACAAAGTATGCAAGTGATGATCCTTACGGGCCTGGCCCTTACACAGGATGACATAAAACCTTCCACATTTTCTCAGATCCTGTGGTACTGAAGTGCTGAGGACCCCTGTGATGGCCTTGGGAGCCATAGGTGGGAGAAGGTGGCTGCTTTAAGACTGAAGGAATCACATACACCTGTGTCCCAACAAAAATTAAAAATAAAATTATCAAACTGAATGTCTGTCCTTGGCTTACTCCTTTAGGACGTGTGTTAATCCATGGTAAGTGGTGCACACAAGTGTGGCAACGTTTTTCCCCTGAGTACAGTAGTTTAATGGGGAAGAGCAGTATTGAAGAACGTGTCAAAGACAGACACCTGCTGAGGCAAGGTAAGATATACAGGATCTTGACGAATAGGATTTTGCAGCAGTGGAGTGACACAGCTCGATTCCAAATACGGCATGGTGAAATGGGAATGTGTAACAAGGGAGCAGGGTTAGGGTCACTCAGGGTCACGGCCTAGAATCCAAAGATAGGTTTACAATTGTTACGGTGAGAATTAGGGTTGCTGTCAGTGTGAGGGTTAGGATTAGGGTATAATGTTGGGGTTGGGGATGGCATTAGCATAAGGAGTTAGGGTTTAGGGGTTGTGGTTAGGATTAGAATTAGGGTTGGGGGTTATGGATTAGGTTACGTCAGCTTTGGGATTTGGGTTGCGGTTACATTTTAAGGTTAGGGTTAATGTTTTGGGTTAACAGCAGTTACGGTGAGGGGTTGCTGTCGGATTAGGGTTAGGGTTTAGGGTTTGGGTTAGGGTTAGGGTTATGGGCTACAATTAGAGGGTTTGTGTTACGGTAAGGGTTGGGGTTAGGGTTAAGGCTTAGAATTAGGATGAGGGTTAGGGTTAGAAGGTTAGGGATGTGGGTTCAGGTTCAGGTTACGGATAGGGGTTGGGGTTAAGGTTTAGGGTTGGGGGTTGGAGTTAGGGCTAGGGTTAGGGGTTAGGGTTAGGGTTGTTAGGGTTTAGGACTTAGGGTTAATGCTAGGATTAGGCTTGGGGTTAGGTATTAGGTTCAGGGCCAGGACTGGGGTCAGGGTCATGTTTAGGGGTAAAGGTTAAGCATAGGGTTGGTTTAGGGTTAAGTGTAGGGGTAGGGCTAGGGTTTGATTTAGGGATTAGGGTTAAGGTTAGGGGTTAGGGTCAAGGGCCTGGTCGGGGCTTGCAGTTAGGGTTTGGGCTTCAGGTTAGGGCTACGGGTTAGGGTTAGAGCTAGGTCTGTGCTAGAGCTAGGGCTTGGGTTAGGGCAAGGGTTTGGGTTAGAGGTTAGGGTTTAATGCTAGGTGTTAGGGGTTTCTGGTTAGGATAGGATTAGCGTTAAGAATTAGGGCTATAAGGCCGGGCGCAGTGGCTCAAGCCTGTAATCCCAGCACTTTGGGAGGCCGAGACGGGCAGATCACGAGGTCAAGAGATCGAGACCATCCTGGCTAACACGGTGAAACCCCGTCTCTACTAAAAAATACAAAAAAACTAGCCGGGCGAGATGGCGGGCGCCTGTTGTCCCAGCTACTCGGGAGGCTGAGGCAGGAGAATGGCGTAAACCCGGGAGGCGGAGCCTGCAGTGAGCTGAGATCCGGCCACTGCACTCCAGCCTGGGCGACAGAGGAAGACTCCGTCTCAAAAAAAAAAAAAAAGAATTAGGGCTATGGGTTAGGGTTAAGTGTTAGGGCTAGGGGTTAGGTGTAGGTGTTAGGGGTTGTGGTTAGGGTTAGGGCAACGGGGTTCGGAGTTAGGGTTCGGGTTGGATTAGGGTTAGGGCCAGGGGCTGAGGTTAGGGTAGCTTTAGGGTTTGGGTAGGGGTCAGGGGTCAAGTGTTAGGGTCAACGTCATGTTCAGCATTAAAGGGTCAGGGGTCTGGTTAGGATTAGGATTGGGCTAGGGTTAGGGCTGGGGCTAGGGTTATTTAGGATTAGTGTTAGGGCAGGGTTAGGGTCAGTGGTTAGGGTTGGGGTTACGGTTAGGTTTAGAGGTTAGGTTTTGGGGTTGGGTTAGGGTTAGGGTAGGGTTAGGTTTAGTGTAGGGTAGCGGTTAGGGTTAGGCGTTCGGGTTAGGCTGGGGTTGTGTTGGGGTTAGGATTAGGGCTAGGGCTAGAGTTAAGTTTTATGGTTAGAGTTAGGGGTTGGAGTTGCGTTTGTGGGTATGTATTGAGTTTATGATTATGGGTTGGGGTTGGTGTTAGGGTTTTGGTTCATGTTAGTGGTTAAGGTTAGGGTTTGGTGGTAGGGTTTAGGGTTGCAGTTGGTGTTGGTTTTGGATTGGGGTTAGTGGTTTAAGTTAGGCATAGAGTAGGGTTAGGAGTTGGAGTTGGGGCTAGGGTTTAGGGTTAGGGTAGGCTTAGTGGTTAGGGTTCGGTGGTTAGAGTGTTAGTGTTAAAGGTTATGATTTGGGTTTCGGTTCGGGTTTGGGTTAAAATTAGGTTTAGTGGGTTAGGGTTAAGGTAGGGTTGGTGTAGTGGGTTGAGGGTTAGTGTTAAGGGTTAAGGGTTAGAGTTGGGGTTGTGTTAGGTTAGACTTTGGTGTTGCAGTTGGGGTTCGGGTTTGGGTTAGAGTTAGATTTAGGGGTTTAGGGGGTCAGTAGTATGGTTTGGGTTAGAGTTTAGGGTTAGGGTTATGTGTTAGGGCTAGGCCTATTAGTAGTGCTAGGCTTAGGTGTTATGGTTAGGGTTAGGGTTAGTGTTAGGTGTTATGCGTGAGGGTCAGGGTAAGCGTCAGGGTCAAGGCCATGGCCAGGTCCAGGGGTTAGGGGTTATGGGTTAGGGTTAAGGGTTAGGGTTTGTGGTTTGGATTAGGTCTAGGGCTCACGCTAGGTGTTAGGATTAGGGGTTAGAGTTAGGGGTTAGTGTTGGAGCTCAGGCCGTGGCTGCTTGTTAGGGGTTAGGGTTCGGGTTCAGGTTCAAGGTTAGAGTTAGGGTTTAAGGGCTTGGGTTGGGAGTTAGGGTTGGGGTTAAGGTTTGGAGTTGGAGTTGGGTTAGGCTTAGGGTTATGGTTTAGGGTGTTAGGGTTTAGGGTTGGGTTAGGGTTGAGGCTAGGGCTCTGGCTAGGGGTTATGGTTAGGGTTAGGTTATGGGTTAGGTTTCGGGTCAGGGTCACGGTAGTGTTTGGGTTAGGATTTAGGGCTAGGCTAGTGGTTAGGGTTAGGGTTTAAGGTTAGTGGTTAGGGTTAGTGGTTAGGGTAGAGTTTGGTGTTGTGTTTAGGGTTACAGGCCTGAGCCATGGTGCCTAGCCTCGTCACGTTGATAAATTAGGAAATATAGTGCAAAATAAATTACAACATGACTTTAGATAAATAAAACTTATTATATAAGACCTAATTAATTAGTGAAGGGGTGATTTTCCTCATTGCTTCAACATTTAGCAGTAGAATTTGACCTGTTCTTAAACTTGCTAATAATAAATGTTTCACAGTGGATTGCTGTAATGTTAGTGCAGTGCTCCCATCCATCAACGCTGCCATACTCAATGCCTAATATTATTGTAGTTAATTTTTTTTTGGTAAATAGGTTTTTGGGGAATATGATGGGTTTTTAAAAATTTCAATAGGTTTTTGGGGAACGGGTGGTATTTTGTTATATGAATACGTTGTTTAGTGGCGATTTCTGAGATTTTTGGTGTACCTGTCACCCAAGCAGTGTACACTGTACCCAATGTGTAGTGTTTTATCCCTCACCACACCCACCCCACCACTCCCAGCCTTTCCCCTGAGTCCTCGAAGACCATTGTATCATTCTTATGCCTTTGCATCCTCTTAGCTTAGCTCCCACTTATGAGTGAGAGCATACAATGTTTGGTTTTCTATTCCTAAGTCACTTCACTTTTTGCCGTGTATGCATTATTTCATTCCATCTTATGGCTGAGTAGTATTCCGTGGTAAATATATATACCACATTTTCTTTATTGACTTATTGATTTATGGGCATGTAGGCTGGTTTCAAATTCTTGCAATTGTGTATCGTG